TTCCTAATTAATGCTGTTCAGTTGCTTTGACACAATCTGTATTGTTAAAAGCGCTATATAAATAAAGGTGACTTGACTTGACTTGACAAAAACAAGTTGGTGCTGGGAGGAGGGAGAGCAGGAACCGTAAGGAAGGGAATATTATAACTCGTCTGAGAATAGGTCACACAGGACTTAATAGTACATTGTTTAAAATTGGCAAGCACCCAACTGGGGAATGTATTTATTGTAGTCAGCAAGAAACAGTTGAACATGTACTGCTTCATTGCAGGAAATACAACAAAGAAAGATGCCATTTTATTCAGTCATTAAAGAAGGTTGATCACAAAGACTTCTCTATAACTGGTATTCTAGGGGAAAAGGCTATATATGATTACATCATTAAGTTTATTAAAGAAACGAAGTTAAGTAAAAGAATTAAATTTTTAAACCAGGGACAGTTTTGCAAAGTAAGTGTTTCAGGAGTAGTTTGTACTTTTTTTGTGTTTTGATGATAAGGTGGTGAAAATGTCAGTTTCCTCACATGTTGTGGGGGATGAGTGTGGGCCCAATCCAGATTTCACTGCTGGACCTTTTGTCACTCTGACAGATCCACATCCTTTACGCGAGCTCATTACTACCTTCAGTGAGCTGTATATCAACTCCGAAGAAGATAATGATTCCGAGCCCCCTCCTGACGATCTATTTCCTCCACCACCTCCTGATGTACCTGACCCGCAATTCTTGCCTCAGTCGGGATGAGATAACCCGACGTATGGCAACATTGGAAGCAGACCTTCAGGAAAAAAGTGAGTTTATGCTGCTTAAAGGCAGAATTTGTTGATCAGTGCCATTTGTTGGAGGATAAATTAAGCTATAAAGTAGAACGAGAGTGTGAGAGGGTTAAAAACCTTCTTGAGCTGAATATTCAGGATTTGGGCAAGTCAGTAGTGGACTGTTTGAAGAGGAGAGATATGCAAATTGATGCCAAGCTAAAATGTTATGCTCCCGTCATGTCTACTCCCATTGTGTCTTCAATTTTAACCCCTACTTTACCACAGTATAGAACTTTTACTGCTCAAACTCAGCAACCTGTACTTGCCAATACAGACAGTGTTCCTGTTCCTCAATATTGTCCTCCTGTTACGAGTTGAATTCCCACAGTTTGGCTCAGATGAAGAAAATGACCCCATTTCATTTGTAGAACGTTGTGAAGATTATCTTGCTCTGAGACCTCTCACTGATTCT